GAGAGAGAGAGAGAGAGAGAGAGAGAGAGAGCTTAGCAATTATGTTTGCAATTTAAAAGAAACGAAGCGGTAGGAGACACCATTCCTCGTCGCGTGCCGGTGCTATAATAATGAAGTTTTCTTTTTTTTTTTCTCTCTCTCTCTCTCTTTTTCTTTTTTTTTTCTTTCGTTACCTACTTGCCAGTACAATGAGTGTCCTACTTTGAGATTAATTTCGTCGTGATGAAAAATGAGAGAAGAGAAAATCGTCCCCAACTACGTCGTAACTCTAACGCAAATGAGGTGAGAGGTTTACGAAAAAGGTCATTACCAGTTACGTTTTCTTTGGAGGTGTCTTCTCTCTTTTTTCTTTTTTGTGCTTTTTAAATAAAAAAGAAAGATTAACACATCGTCGTCCAACGTTAGTAAGTATTTTTGAAGTTATACTTCTTATGGGGCACGTTTTGGAAAGTGAAGTTAAATGCAACCGAAAAATCTACACCACGAAGTTGTCGAGATATTTATACGATGCGCGGGCAAATTGAAGTTATTTTTGAGGTTATGGAGGTTATATTCGTTTTAGTACGCTAAAAAACGTACGTACATAAGTACATACATCAGTTTTGTCTTCTTCCATTTGTTTATTAAAGTTATAACGCTTTTGGCGCGTTTTGGTAAATGAAGTTAGATGCAACCGAAAAATCTACACCACGAAGTTGTCGATTATTTACGATGCGCGGGCAAATTGAAGTTATTTTTGAGGTTATGTTCGTTTTGATACGCTAAAGAAGTATAACTTATTAAGTACACACATCAGTTGTTTTTTGTTTTCATTTTTCTGTTCAAAGAATAATGGTATAAAAAAAGAAAGGATTCTTGGTATTTTTCAAAGAACTGATTGACGATGGTTTTCTACGTACGATTGAATTTTTCTAAGAATTTCATTAGCGAGTCTGACCACATTATCTAACCACGATCAATGATAGATCAAATCTAGTTGTTAGATGTTAATATACAATGAAGTTATTGATCATTTCTAAGTAACATTTCATAACATTATGACGTTACGATGATGACGTTTATTGCTATATACAATACATACGTATTAACAACGAGATCGGGTTTAATAATAATCGGGTTCAACAACAATGGACACAGTACTAACGAGACAAACTTTTTATTCGAGGAAAAAGTTGTTTTTACCGTCTCTACTACCTACCCTATTTCCTCATTTTTTTTTCCTTCTTTCTTTCTTTTTCTTTACGTTACCGTCACCCACCACCCCTTTCTTTCTTTACTCTTTTTTTATTTTCTTCCAGCACCTACGATTCCTTGGGTTCTTATAGTTTGTTCATGACGATGTAAAGCGAAAAGTCGATAAAAAAAAAAAGAAAGAAAGAAAAAGTTACTAAATCATAAATTACGTCAAGTTAGCTAACGTAAAAATTTATATAAAGTATATGCTACACATAGAGAGAGAGAGAGAGAGAGAGATGAGGATGAATGCAAAGACTATAAACCAAAGTTAAATTCGCATATTGGGATCATTCACGCACGGATTACAAACCCGATACGTCACTGAACTTTCGAGTATGCCATTTATCATCTATAATTTAACTGGTATGCAACATTATTATACACATAAGCAGACTTTACATACTCTTCTTCCTTGTCTATACCATGAAAGAAGAATTCTATAAGCTTTGTATACCATAAGTACATTGAATATTTCTTACTTCTTAGGGTAGTTTCATGATGAAAAATATATTATACCGGAACGAACTTGATAGAAAAAAAAAAAACAGAAAATACAAGATTCGTTTACCAATTCAATAAAATTTCTCTCTCTCTCTCTCTCTCTCTCTTTAGGCTACAACAAAATTGATTTGTTCAAAGTAATATTTATAACTAACCGGGATGTTATTTTCGTTCTTTAACCGGGGCATCCGTCAAATTGACTCAATCCATTTAAGACACACACACACACACACACACAAATGTCTTGGTAAATGTGTTCAATGAAAAAGTAGATAATTCGTTTCCTTGTTTAGTACCAGAATACATGTATTATATATATAGGTGTATATATAACCACCATATATATTTTTAAACAAGAAAGAGTGTGAGAACTCGTCTGTTTTTCAGGCAAACAAGGTTAGGGGTTTGGTGATGGTGTTATCTATGGTGATCGAAATAATGAAACGATTGAACGAGAATGAATAAAAAAATAAGAAAAATACATGGAAAAGTTTGACGTCTACCGAAATCGGTTTGTTCGTTTGTTCGAATTTAATCTGCACGATTTAAATACTCTACTTCGACGATACAGGAATAACCATAACCCAGCCGATGAAGGCTACCACCACCATCATCACCAACTCGTTTACATCGTGTGTCTGTGTGCTAGTAACTGAAAATTATGCTAGAATAGTAAAGCTTGGCCTTTATTCCTTCCTCGTGGCGAATAACCAATCGAATAAGAAGAAGAAGAACCAAGATAAACATGACGATGAAGCAAAATATTCTAAGTTGGTATAAAACAACGTACGAACCAGCAACAACAGTAGCAGTACCAAGTTAAACCCTAGAGATTTCTGTTCTTCTTCTTCTTCTTCTTTGAATTTTCTTCGATTGATTTACGAGTAACGGTTGTTAACGTGACTCTTCGTTTATCTACCGAAACCTAAATTATTCTTTTTATTAGCCCTTCAATTCGTATTCATCGTTCATCCTCATGTTTCCTATGATAATATTAATATCCTATATACTTGTACGAAAAATTACTATAACGTCAATGTTATTTAATATTATTTTACTCAACATAATTATTATTTTATTGATAATAAATTTTCGATCCGAGCACTGTGTCCACCAAAGATTTCACAGGCTCTTTTTGTTTTTTGTTTCTTTTACAAGCCAAAAAATGCGAATGAATAGTAAAAAAAATGCAAAGTATAACTTTGCCGAACACGAACGTATACAAGTATATATCTATATATATATATATAAGTACATGAAGTTAGGAACGAACGCGTGGGGTAGAAGAATTTCTGCGTCGGAACGTGACTCCTCCCCCTGTTCTCTTCTCTTCTACGATCCTTCGACCCTTCGGCCACCACCCACGCCAAACCTTGGCGCGGACGACAGGACGAAGGACGAAAGAAAAGGAGTCTTGTATAAGGAAGGCGAGATAGATCAATAACAAACCATTATAAGAACTCTCTCTATCTCTTTCTCTCTTTAATAACGAACCTGCCTAGGGGAAAATGTCTTATTCGTAATTTTTATTACTAGAAAATAAAGATAAATGAGAATAAGTAAATAGGAATAAGAAGAAAAATGAGAACACGTGTGTGTATATGTGTGTGTGTGTGTTGGAGGAAGAGAATGAACAGATAAAAATCGATAAGGAACATCGGAAATTTTGGTTTCTTTCGGAAAACCCAGTTTCTACCACGCGGTTCTCTCACATACATAGAAAGATAGATATACACACATATACACATGACCGATCGTTAAGCCCCCAACCAACCCCCTTTTCTTGTTCCCGCTATCGAGCTTCGCAACGGTATTTTCTCTTTCCCTCAACCCCTCGTGAAACCCCTCTAACCCTCTTCTGCCTCTCTTCTATTTCACTGATCCCTTCTCTCGTTCTTTCTCACCCACACCCAACCTCCACCTCCCGACCCTCATCCTCCTTCTTTTCCTTATACTACTACTACTACTACTACTACTACATCTTGCCCTCGAGGCAGTTTCATTAGCCGCGACGAGAACATTTGTTTCTGTCGATGTTTCGTGGCGTTTCGTAGCCACCACCTCCTCCTCCTCCTCCACCACCTCCTCCACCTCGCCATTCCTGTCCCGTTTTCACGCCTTTTAGTTCGTGTCGAAATTTAGCCGAAAAAATTTGGTCGCAAATTAGATAAACCTAAATTTGCCCGTTATTTAAATCATGCACCAAGCAAGGGGCAACACACACGAATCAATTTTCTATCTTTTCTTATTCTTTTCGAAAATGACTTTATTGTTTTTACTTTTTAAAGTTTTATTAAATGTGATGGTTGAAGAAACAAAAAATAAAACCAAGAAGTAACGTGTGATCGTAATTATTAGGTTTTTAAAAGGAACCGAAATGAATAAAGTTCGAATTGGATCGATTAAAAATCGATCATCGAACTCACCTAAGAAAAATCAGCATAATCAAATTCTGCTCGGCAATTTTGTTCCCTCTTCTATCCCATTGACGTATCCATCCATCTTGAGTAGTTGATACTCTCACAACAACATGCTCATCACGCCGGTATATCGTAAAGAATAAAATAACTCGAGCACTCTCGCGCACACCACCATCATCATCGTCATCGTACTCGATATTTCACCACTGACATCGTAAAACAATATTCTAAGAAGATCACGATAGGGTTGGGTTAGTTATATCTTATACGATTGATCGAGACACCACCTCCTTTCAAAAACGAACAATGACGATCTTCCTAGATACATTTTTTCTATGGGTCACCGTCTATATATACATACATACATTGCTTGTTCACCATGAACAACGATATTTAGTTACTACCAATGCGAATTTATATCTCAACGTATTATATATTCACGTATGTGAGATAGTCTGAGATTTACGAGACGGTTAACTGCCTCCAAGCGAGGAATTTCGACGTCAAGAACGCCCCTCGGCTCCAATTCTTCTTTCATCTTCATCTTCATCTTCATCTTCATCTTCAGCTTTCTCCATTTTCCGAAATACTTCCAAGCAAACGCCGGCCGAACACGCATTTATATTTCCACTTAAAATTGGTACATCGATGAAACAAAAATCTCAACCACCCCACCCCCATTGTCATCGTAATAATAACCGAAAAAAAGAAAACAGAAACCATATCATTTATTTCCACCAATATAATAGAAATCAATTGATTCGTTCGAAAGTCCATGTGGTTTTTCCTCGAACAACCCATCATCATCATCATCATCATCAACCCAACCAACCAATCAACCAACCATCCATGAGAGAAATCCATGTCTGACCAACGTGGCACGTTTCCACTTGTCCACCGGCGTGGCTGGCTCTCTCACTACTTCAACCCACACCGATATTAGAAAACTTCCAAATGTGATTGTTCATTTCTCGATAAAACAAACTAATACAAATCCGAAAAAAGTCATCATCAAGATAGACAGTTAATAATAATAATAATGATATATGAGTAAGAGAAACGCCCGTATCCGTGGGTTAAACGTTTCGCGAGGTCGTCGAGCACTGACTCTCCTCGATTGTCCGGTCGAGCGATCGAAAAAGGAAGAGAAGAGTGGTAGGAATGAAAGGAGGGTGGGTGGGTGGTTAAATGGGTGGCTTAGTGAGTGGTAGAAAAAGATAGAGAGAAAGATAAAAGTGTCTTTTTAATAGGATGACGATTCGTCGCGAACTATAAATCCGTTTGAAACGTTTAAGTTTAGTCTGACGATGAAAAATAACTTATACGTCGGTTGTACCACCAGAGTTGTTCACCGGTGTCGTCGTAGTCGTCTCTCTTACCGGGTCCTCTACACCGTAGCCACGATTGGTCTGAAGCACTGCTACACCCTCCTATCCACCACCTTCTTTATCTTTCTCTCTCTGTTTCTCTCTTTCACTTTGGTGGAAACGTTCGGCGTCGGCGTCGGCGTCGGCGTCGACTTCAGCCGGCGGGGGGCACCACCGAACGGGCATCACTACCACCACCACCACCACTACTACCAATACTATTACCACCATCACCACCACCATTACCGACGCCGACGCCGACGCCGACGCCCGTACGACACCGATCGATAGTCACAGCAGTCGACGACGCCGCGAGAGGACGACGACGTCCGACCGCGACGTCCAAACTCCTCCTAACTTTCGATTATCCTTCCTACTCACTCTCTTTCTCTCTTTCTCTAACTCAACTATTCGCCTACGTTCGCCTAATATACTTTTATATGGGGTTATAGTACCTATCTATCTATCTACCTTACCTAACCTCGAGTGAACTTACTCGTTATCCAAATTTAATGCAACTGGAATGTTGTTTATATTATTACTAAGTTTAATTCTTAGGGATGATTTTTTTTTTCGACAGGTTTAAATTAAATGAATCCGTTGAACGGATTTTTTAATAAATTATCCGTTGAACGTTTCGTCCCTATATTTTGGGACTTCCTCAGCAACTCGATAGTTATGTTCACTAGTCAATCTAACATCATTTCTCATTACATTATTACTAAGTTTAATTCTTAGGGATGTTTTTTTTTTCGACAGGTTTAAATTAAATGAATCCGTTGAACGGATTTTTTAATAAATTATCCGTTGAACGTTTCGTCCCTACATTTTGGGACTTCCTCAGCAACTCGATAGTCATGTTCACTAGTCAATCTAACATCATTTCTCATTACAGTCATAAGTATTTACTATCTTATATATAGAGTCAATTTTAAACCGTTATCCTACCATAACTTTTCGAACACTATATTTATCTTTATGCATTTATTATACATTTCATTGTATACGTATACAAATATAGAAAATGTATTAGTGAAATTTTGGATAAATCAAAATCACAAGTGGTTATAAGGGGCTTGAGAATAGGTTAATTCATTAATCGAATTTTGTTTATTTTTTTTTTAATTTTTCTTTCCTTCTCTATCAATTTTCATACTTCCTTCTCATCGTATACGCATATTATACACGTACTTTGCTGGTATATATATATATATATATATATATATGTATGTATATATATATATATGGTAGCTGTCTAGCTCGAAAATTTCATTAAGACCTCGTTGAGAAGTAGCACGCTTGCGAAGAATTCGTAAAACGTTATATACTACTCCTTCCGTTTTCTCTTCTCGTACGTACTCTACCTATCCACCTACCTACTCTCTCTCTCTCTCTCTCTCTCTCTCACTCTCACACTCTCTCTGCTTAACTTTAAGTCGACGTACATACACGTTGCACGTAATGTGAACCGGATGAAGAGTTTCACACGAACATACATATATATATATATATATACACATAGATTCGTATACAACCGAATACTTACTCTCTCTCTCTCTCTTTCTCTCAAATATGCGAAAAATAAAATGACAAAAAAATATATAGGAAGTTAAGAAGAAGAAGAAGCATAGGGAAAGGGTTGTGTAGTACAAATAATGGGAATGAAACACTAGGGAGAAACTAATGAATGTGTATACATATATGTGTTTGTTGAAAAAAAAAATAAGAGAAAGAACAGAGAAAGAGAGAGAGAGAGAGAGAGAGAGAGAGAGAGAGAGAGAGAGAGAGAGATAGATAGATAAGAAAAGTCATCACGGTCACCGTGCAACACGCTACGCCACTACGCCGTCATTCATTGATTGCATTGTAGCGTGAGGTTTGCCTTCATGAACGTACTGTGAACGTACGTTGCACTACGTTACGCTACTGCTAATGTGCGACGTATGAAAGGAAGAAAAAAGTGGGAAAGAGAGGGTGAAAGGGTAAAGGGGGGGGATGGTGGTGGTTGTTTGGAAGTGTAAAGGGGTTGAAGAAAAACGTGAAAAGGGGAAAGTAAGGATAAAAGAAAAGTAGGTTCTCTCTTTTCCTGTTATATTCCTATCTTTCTCACCCCTACCAACCAACCAACCACCACCCACCCCTTTCTACAGCTTTTCATTCTGGCTTTGAAACGAAATGATACGAGACTCGGTCGAAGATTCAACATAAAAGTACATTCCCGTTGGTGACACGAACGAGTGAGAAGATCACTCCCGACAAAAAAAATCAGGCTTTTCTTTAAAACAAGAAACAAAGATACAAAGAAATATTTCGAGAATGAAGAAGACACGAGTAACAAATCCCCTCCTCTCCCACCACCACCCCTCCTGCGCGTGATTTCTTTTTCTAGGTCGCAAATGAATCTACCAATGATTGTTAAATAAATTCAGAATGATATACTTACGTAGATATGTGTACACGTGTGTGTTTTAATATTTATATGGATAAATCGTTTTAATGGGGAAACAAAATTCGAAAGATTCGTGACGACATGGTTTTTCCAAGATTCCTATAACGTTATAAATAAGTAACCATCCCCATTGAAGAAATACAAAATAATTTTTATCAATGTGAACATATTTTTCATCTATATGTTCAACATAAGTGGTGTATGGTAAATACTCATGGAAACTCTCATTTAAAGTATCGAATTTTAACTTGAACGATTGAATGTATATCATCACATCTTTTACGAATATTTTTATTTTCATCGTCAATAAATTTGGTCGGGTTTGCGAGTTTTATGAAATAAAAAAGGAAGAAATAAAGAATGACAAGAAGGGAAATATAGGGGTGGTATGGGGGTGAGGAGGAAAGGAAAAAAAGAGAGAATGTGAAAAAGAGAGAAAGAGAGACGTAGATTATAGCGTAACGTAAAAATGAGTGTCGAAAGGGAAAAAGTGTAAGATAAGTCATCATGGTCAACGTGCGGCGCCACGTCACGCCATGTATTCCGTCATTCATTGATTGTATCATACCGTAACGAGCGTACTCAGCGCGGGAGTAACGTGCACGTAACCTCACGTGGTCGTCGTTCCAAAGCGAGAAAAGTATGGTGGTGAGAAAAAAAAAGAAAAAAGAGACACAAATAAATGTACAAACTTAGGTTGGGGATATAACTATACTTTTCATGCAACAAGATAACTATCGTTTTACATATCATTATGTATATATTTGTGTGTGTGTAAATATATTCGCATACTTGCTTAAAAAATTAATAAAATTAATGAACATAATAAATGAATTTTATGAAAATTGTGTTAAAGAAAGATAGAAATTTTCGGTTATTCTATTGATTATTTTCTGTCTCTTTTTCTCTCTTTCATGTGTGCATAATAATATATCGTTCGTATCTACTTTTATAGTGTTAATATTCGATCACAAAAGTATCAAATACAAAAAAAAGAATTCATTATATTT